CGCAAAACATGTGGTTTGACAGCAATGTCTTTAGGGCAATGTTTTTATTTTTTTTAAATTGAAAGCAATGGATGGCACGGAAAGTCTAAGACTAAATGTGCACATACAAAAACTCCAATGTTTTGTGTTCATGTATATTTTTATTCCAAATCTTTCACAGCTATCCACGATGGTCGTAATGTTATTCGATTCCACCATGCTTTCACATAGGGCCGTGATTCGAAAAAGTGACCTTCACCATTTGCAACAAGAAGTGAACCGTATGGCAAATGAAATAAATCGGCCAAAGTAAAAACCTACTTTGACAATGTGCCAAAAAAACATTGAAGAAGAGACGAGAAACAATTTTGGCTCACTTGTCCACCTAGGTACGGTTGTTTTGACAATATTTTTTCGTAGACATTCAATTTGGCATTCAATTGTTCTTTGAGTACAGTGACTTTGGTCTCATCCGGCTCTCCTAATCCCTTTCTTCTATTGAACATGAGCAGAAAATATTATGTAATAAATCATCAATGAAAGCTTTCCTTACTACGTACTTCTTAAAAACCCTCTCGAATATAATTCCACTTGCATAGGGATCAAAGTTGAATGCTTCGATAGATGCAGCTTGTTCGAAGAGCCCTAGTGCTTTGATGTCTGTTGGAATCAGTTCAGCACCACTGCCTTTATATTTCGATTCCAAATAACGACAGATGGCACGCGATTCTATGACACAGTAACCATGAAATAATGAGGTACTCAGCATGAAACGTATCAATTACTCGAAAAAAAAAGCGAATTCAAGTCTTATTCACAAGTGTAGCATTGTTGAAAAGAGCGCAAAAAAGCTTAGTATTACTCTAAAATATGAACATGGGGTACTCCAACAATGATTGTTTTTTGTTGTCGCTAATATTTTTCTAACGTCTCTGTTGCAATGATATATATATATTCACTTCTGACAAAACGAAAAGAAGCATTATTCATAAGGCTGATAACAAGTCACGAGCTATTATCATTCTTAACAACATCAATGAAAAATCTGTTCAAAATAAATTAAATCATAAATAATACAAGTTTCAATAGAGCATAAATGAGTTTTTAAGTCCAACAGCATTATCATCTATAGTCATAACATGATTTATTTTCGGAATAACAGTACACTTCATTTGCGTAAAAAGGTTCAAAGTGATTCATTTTTGATATTATTTGAGAAGTATAAATCTAGATAGTATTCAATTGAATTATGTAGAAACGATCTCTATTTTCAATTTTTATCGACTATTTCATAATCTTTGATCGAATATAGAGTTGATAAGAATCGTATCTATGTAAAAAGCTACAAAAACTGAGCAAGATGCGTGTATGTCTTTGCATGAGTCCGATCATGTCTTTATAAAATTTTCGACAAATAGATTTCCTATCGAACACAACAAGAACATATCATTCTCTCTGAAGGACTGAATTTTTCGTTCTGATTCATGAACATATGTGTACATGAAGCTAGTACACAGTTGATAGACCGAGAAAAGACTAGTATTTTGATGATGATACAGTTCATTTCGACATAAAAAAAAATATTACAATAAAAATATTTTTCTGAATAAAAAATGAGTTTCATATAAAAGTCTAGTGTAGTACTAGTATAGAAAAAATATTTTTATTTGAGTCAGATGTCTAAAATTGAATTTGATGCTGAAAAAATTTTAAAATGTATTTTTAGTTCTATTTCGTATTGATGATCAGAAAAATATTGATTTGCCTCGTTTCAATGAGATTAGAAATCAAAGACAGATATGATTATGTTTCAAAGGATCAGAATTCGTATCACACTCTTTATTTTTTTTCTATCATTTCTCTCAGCGTTCAACTAGAATCACCTCCTAAAAGAAACATAACATCATGTATTTCACTCATCATATATACGTGCTGATATGCTTCATTCTGATTGAAGTTATCTTTGGAAATAGAACGAAAAGAAAATTACTATTAATTGAATAGAGCTCTTCATTTTTAAAGATAACAATTTCATTATTTTTTCAATTTAGGTAGTGAACAGTCGTGTTATTACTGTTAGAGAAAATACAGTGGACAAAAGAATACTAACTGACAAAAACTAAATTGAGTATATCATCGTAATTAATATAAGTTTTGATTTATGAGCGAAATGAAAAACTTGAAGAATAATAAACAATGATCACTTTTTCTATAAACTAAGAAAAAAGGAGAACATGCAGATTGAGTACTTTTTTTATATGGCTCAATTGAGTTTTTCATTTTAGATAAACTCAATATTATATGCATGAATCTATTATCTATCTAAGTTGAAAAGAATAAGTAATGAAAATGTTTCATAATATCAATGGTTCTCATGTTCAAGGAAATGAACGATTTATAAACATAATTTGCAAAAATAAAACTAATTGAATGTGTTTTATTCAATTCAATTCACGCACGTGTGTATTTGCTAGACAACTTTGCTTTAAATATAAGTCGTTTTCTTCGGAAAATTCTCCAATGTCTCACAGGTTTTATCACTATGACTAGCTGACTCTTTAAGATGATTATTGTACGATTTTTGATCATTTCACAGTCAAGCTCTGTTGTGTTTCTCTTGTCTTCAGGTACATATCCGTGCATTTAAACATCTCATCCAATGTGCCAGCAAAGAAGAATAGGAATGATATTAATAATTACAAATTCAATAAATTGTCTTTCAAAAAAAAATATATATTCCAGAAAATCTCATTTGATACATCAAAATTCATAAGAAAATTGCACTTAATATTGCTTCTCGAAAAAATATTCGAGAACTATAAAAATATTTCAAGAATTTTTCAGAATATTTGTCTCTGAATGTAATAATAGTATCAACATCGTTGACGATTTCATTAGTAAAAAAAGAAAAAACTTCAAAACTTCACAGAGAATAATATTCAACCTACAGAGAACAAACTGATCGAAGCAACTGCATAATACTAGAAACAACAATGACATAGAGATATTATTAAATGTGTATTGATAATCATTTGCATCAGGAGAGAACATCACTGTTTTTATGTTGGAAAGCGAATATTGAAACAATAACTTTTCATTTTAGTAACAACTGTAATTGCAGGAAATTTTGAATTACTCTCCTATCCATCTTTGAAAATGATAACCGATTTAAAATGAAAGTTCTATCGACAAGAAAGATGAACTCTTTTCCATCGCAATGATCATTTTCATATCAGTGTGTATTTATGATAAGCAAAACATGTGGTTCCAGGTCAAAGGTATCCTTGTTGGATCCTACCGGAGCCGGAAAATTCTGGTAGGATTCTGTCGGAAGCCTTATCGCTGGATTTCAACAGTCGAATCCTATCGAAATTCCGGTCATTTTGACATTTGGATACGACTGTCGAAATCTAGTAACAAAGACTTGAACAACTTCCGACGCATTCCCATGAGATTCGATAGGATTCGACAGGAACTGACAGTTGGATGTATTGTCCTGGGTTGTTGAAAACGAGAAAAAATAATATCATTTGTTTTTGGTCATCAAAAAAAATTGGGTTGAAATTTTATTGAAAATACTCTTTTGGACATTAAATCCGAGTTTGAATATCTAACCATTTTGTTTATAATAGTATTACAATTTCATTTTTTATGAAATTCATTTACTTATTGAGAATGATATTTTTATATTAATACTTATTTATTGGGAAAGAACTATACGATTGCCATCAAATGACACGACAATTGAGCCTCCATTGGCTAATTACAAAAGAAAAAAATTCAATATTCAATCACTGCGTTTTATTCAAAATTAGTAGACAGAAAGATGCAACATCTTCCTATTAGATTGATAACTCACTATTAGATTTCTCCACAGCAAAGTCAGTCATCTTTACGAAAATTATTAAGTGCTTCTAATTATTTATTTTTGATTCAGCCTTCATTACTATTTTATGTTATTTGACTGTTATGATACTATGTCAATTATGAAATCATCAGAAATCAAGGACTACTAACTTGCACTTGATAACATCGGTTACCCACGTGGTGTGTGGGTGCGATCAGAATAGGGATGTGAGCGTTTTGTTCACGTACATCTACACGGATATCCACATCCATAATTCAACAAACTCACTCATTTATTTACGTATAAGTTTAAGAATTGATTTCACAAAAAAAAAAATAAAGTCTTTCAATCTTTCCAAATGTCTTATTTTTCTTGTTCATATTCATGCTTCTTTATCATGCTGCCTTATAAGCACTTTTAAAGAAAGGACTCGTTCAAATGATATGTATACAATAACGTAGAACAACAAAATAAAATGCCATGATGTGATTATTCTTCAAAACGCATATGAATGCAGACATAAAAAATAGAGATTATGTGAGGGAAATGATTGCTTATTCTGCATGTTGTAAATATAGTCTTGATTAATCTGTATGAATAACTACTTATTAAATAGTACGATGAAAAAAACAAAATATTTAATCATTTGTAGGTCTTTGTTTATTCTTGATTGAAAACTTATACTTGTAAGAAGAAAAAAAATGATACTCCTTCTAGACTCTTTATGTGTAGTTGACAAAATATTACGTTTTTCTTTTTCTTTATCATGACACATTTCCCTGTCTTTTGCACGTTCTTAAAGTTTACTTATTTCAATCTCGACAAGAGAAGATGTAAGATGAAGAATATGTTGTTTTATATCAATGTGATAGTTAGGTGATGCTATGAATATAGAAAATATGAACAGAAACGCAAAGCGTCTGAGATCGAATAAAGATTTTTGAAAAGTTCTTTTTAATAGAACAAATAATTTTGATACTTCCTACTAATTCAATATAAATATTATCGATAGATTCTCTTTTCTTAACAAGTTCTTTTTATTTTGTGTGTCAATAAATTCGATTGAGAATTCTTAGTTGAAAATAGTTATGTTCCTTCTTGTAGTAATTTAATTAGAGTTTTCTCAATAGCATCTAAACTTGATAAGTAAACTTTCAGTAGTATTTAAATTTCGATTTTTCTTCAATCCTAACTCCAACATAATGATCACCATGATAATAATCTTTTATTTTGCTTTCTTATGTCATTACACACATAATTTTCAAACGAGTTTTTTCTCTACAACTCCTTGTGTAACAACTTGATGGAGAAAAGTCAAATAACAAAGCAAAAATAAACTTTTTCGAAAAGGTTGAAAAATTTTTGTTATTTCTTTTGTAAAATCAATTCGTAAAAATGTTTACTGAAAATTTCGAATGAAATTACCGATAGAAGAACATTATATATTGCTCAGTTCGATACGTCTATCAAAATATGTATTTTTTTCCATTCAATCTTATAAAGATAAACAATTTCCCTCTATTTCATTCACAACAAAACAGAGAAATCATTCTTAAATAATTCAACTAAATACCATCTAGTTGTATACTTTTCAAGTACTAAAAATTGAATCATTTTGAACTATTTTAGGCAAATGAAGTTTACAGTCATTCCGAAAATAAATGATGCTATTAGTCTTGAAAACTCATTTATGCTCCATCACAACCTATATTATTTACTATCTAATTTATTTTGAATAGATATTTTCATTTATGATTATTGCATATGACACTAGCTCATGTCTTGTCATCAGCCCCGTGAAAAAGTGTCTTTTCGTTCCTTTATAAGTGAACATATGTATAAATATATGATTGCAGGTGACAGTAAAAAACAGTATTAGAAAGAAAACCGAAAAAATCACTATTGCACAGAACAATATTAAAAACAATTTTTCTTCGGTTTATACCATGCCCACACTCATATGTTAGAGTAATACTCAGTTTTTTGTTACGCTCTTTCCAGCAATGTTATCTTTGCGAATTAGACTTCTAATCTATTTTTTCAAGCATTTAGTATGAAAATTGACGTACCATAGATTTGAAAATCGTCGTCGGTCAATACTGGAATAACACCAAATGGATGTTTTTCTTCCAAATATTTTGGGTTCTATCAATAGATAATTCAGATCATGTATTTGATTCTTTTCTAATTTTACCTTTTGCTCTTTCTTTGCTAAATCAATCAGTTGAAATCCGTACTTTAGACCTTTCTCGTAGAGCGTTGCCAACACACGCTTCGTACACGTTGATCGATATGCACCGTAAACGGTAATCGCCATCTTATTCAGCTTGATAGTGCTAGACAGTTAGATTATTTATACTCTGAAAAGAAAAGATGAATAGACTAGCGCTACACGTTCATAACCCATCTTGAACATGATATATGCAGTCACGCATACATAATTATCTCTTCATGAAGAAGGTTAAGCGAATGGACAAGAAAAAAATTGCTTCGTTAGTATTTCTTTCCGAGAAAGAGTAAAACATAGAGAACAGAGCACGATGAGTAAGAAAAAAGTATACAAACAAAAACAACATGATTAGATGCTTGACGGATATTGGCTTAGCGAGAAAAAGAAAACGACTGTGCATGTTTAGATGGCGTTGTCGTCCGTTTTCACTATTCAGAGACAAATAACGATGTACATTAATCAGGCAAATGCCACATTGAGGAACATAAACATTGTTAGAATTGAATCAAGATTAGTTTTAGAGTTAAATTAGTCGAGCGCTTGATTTACATTCGGAAACAATTTTTATGAGACCTGTTGGATTGAGCATGTAAAGTTTAATAAAGAAGCTTATATTAAATTATTAATTAAACGCATTGACTGTGCATTCGACAAAAAACTATCAACTTCTTCAATAAAAATGTATTATTCAATGGTACATCGAGATTCGAGATTTTTAAACTTTCGTAAGAATATAAACTAGTTTATATGGGAGCATTGCGCTGGTATTATGGCGTTTGAAGTTAATAATTGAAAAAAATAAAAGTAAATATAAACAAAATCTTAGTGGTGCATTCGATAGAGCTTTATTGGTTATATACACATTAAGTATTTTCGCAACTGCCAGATTTTTAGTTTCGGATAAAATTGGTTTTTTTTAAAGATGAATATTTTTTTAGACCTCTTGACAAAATAAAATATTCATTTTACGAGATTTCTAAATGAATATTTACATATTGTTACCGCATAACAATCGGTAGTTTGTAGAAAACGAATTTAATCAATATCTATAGTACTTTATCCATCACTACGCATGGATATCTTAAGAATGTGAGAGCGATGTTGCCATTCTCAATTCCTCATTCTCATCGCATTCCTCAAACCTTTCGGACCTTCAAGGTGACAAGAAAACTCAGTGATTATCTGAAAAACATCTCTGAGTTTAAAAAGCGTTGATTCAACTTTCAACTCTGTCGGAGCATTTTAAGAGTAACATGCTGTTTTTTTTCTGAACGATACATCTTTGAGAACTGAACTTTTTGTCACAGTTCTATCGTGCAGTTTTCTAAAAATCATTAAAAAAAATTCTTGATTGATTTCTTATAATTACTGAGAAACCAAAGAAACAAACTTAAAAGGGTGTGGGTGTGGGGTGTGGATGAAGAGAAGAACGCTACCCGCACCATACCCCACACCCACACCGACACCCACACCCACATCATTTTGTTCGTGCATTTTTCAAGTGGATCTTTCCTCTGTCACAATCTACCGAGGGTTCTAATGTATCATTCATTTACATATCAGTTTTATAGTCTCTCAAACCATACTGATGAGCATCATTGAGATATACCTGATGACCACGGGCCCAGTCATGAATTGTGGGAGTTCGGTATGTTTCTGTCTCTATTGGTCCACTTTTAGATACTATCCCGAATGAAGTCCATTTAGGATTATCTATGTTTTCAATTTTGAAGCAAAATTCATGTTGTCCGAATTGATTTTCGGGGTGTGGGTGTGAAGTAGCTGCCATGACCGGTTTCGACCTTGCTTAAGGGTCTCATCAGATGTCTTATCTATTCTGAATTTTCAAAGCGAAAATCCAAAACAAGATGAATCTTCCGTGTTACAAGATAAAACTTGTAATAGAAGATTAAATCTTCAGGCAGTGGTGTGAAGTAGCTGCCATGATCGGTTGAGTGTAGGTGTGGGGTGGGTGTGGATGGTTGTGGGTTGTAGGTGTGAGTGTGGGTGTATGGGGACGAAACAATACCAACACCCACATCCACCCAATAACCGAACCAGCATAGCGAAAAATTATGGATTCATTTTTGATTTTTCATTTCTCAAATAAATGAACATATATATATATATTATTTCTTTTAGGGATACAATGAATTCATTCAGTTACAAGTACTCGAGATGATTTTTTTCTTCAAATTCTAATAAAAAGAAAATAAAGTTACAATGTCTTTCCATTTTACTCATAATTGGGAAAATCTATTCATGTATTTGGCACTCGATTACAGGCTGACATTTTAGATCAGATTTAAAAACTGACCTAACTTAAAAAACCATTATTGTCCCTTCGGGTGTTGGTTTATGTGTAGTTGTTGATAGATGTGAATGACGTGTAATGAAGCGGGGGATAGATGTGGTGGTGAATACCTTTACGACCTATGATCATATCGTATGAGATTGGTTCATAATATTTTGAAACCAAGTCATACAAATCTCGAACCTGACCGGTTTCATATCTCATCAACTGAACAGACATCACTGTCCAGGATCCACATGAGAGAACTCTTCTCATTGATTTTAATAATGCGAATCTTCATCACAAGTTAAAACTAACGTGCTCAATAGTCCATATTTCAGCAGAATAAGAAGTGTGCTTATGCATATGTGGGCGAGTCGATGTGACTATGCATGAAATAAAGATAGATATCGATCGTAGCCATACTCTTCTAACAAGGAATCTATCTCTAGCATACAGGTAGAGATGAGGATGTGGATCATGGGCCTCGCTCTGGGTATTGGTGTGAGTGTTTCTTATCGGTCGATCCGCCCACATCGAAAAAACCTAGTCGGAACAATTAGACATTTTCTAAATTCTGTAATTCAACTCATCTAAGCCGATTACGGTGTGGGTATGGGGTGTGGGTGTCTCTTTTCTCTTTGCACTCATATCGACTCACATCCGCACCCTCGATATTTCGAGAAGAAAGACCTGGAAAATAAAGCCATTCTGGACCTCTCTATTATTCACTGGTTCTCACCAAATGAACATCATCTCGGTTTGAAAAGCGATTTGATAGTTGGGAACGTCTCCTTGTAAGACCAAACCAAGTTTGGTATTAGCTAAGTTCAATCCAAGTAAATATTTCCTGAAAATCAAAATCTGTGTTATCTCTATTTCGGATTAAAGCATTACTCAGTACAAATAGCAAGAAAGTCTCTCAGTATTCTGGCATATATCTGAATTATACCGTGAGATAGATTTGATAATCAATATGCCTGCGATAAAACTGATTGATGTTATACGTGAAAAAGGTTTTCGTATGCTATCCATATCCACTGATCACTCTACAATGACTGGTGTATTATTAAAAACGCTCAGAACCCACACCCACACCCAAAACAACAATACTAACTTTTTCAAATACAACATATGCATACGAAGCGGCTAGAATTTTTATTTTTATGATTATCTTTCTTTTACTCTGAAAAAGTCTCCCCCGTCTTCTAAAAATTGAGTTATAGATTCAATTCATATTAGCCAAATTTAATTATTTAAATAACAATTTCATGAATAAGGAATTATTGGTTGACAGTAGAAATATTGAAAGGAAAAATGTCGAAAAAAATATTGATGTGGAAAATGGTCGAATAAGTGTTTTAGAAAATTTTGACATGAGAGAGGTGCTTTATTTTGTACGTTAACACTAACATATGGTAATAGAAACAAAACAAAAATGAAGAGATAAAAAAAGAAAAAAAATACAAAATGTTATTTTAGGAAAAGAAAAAATGAATTATATTATTCGTGTTTAGAGTCACCATTTACTGGAGACATCACTATTTCGATTATTTTTAATTTAGATTTGTTGTAGTGTCGAACTTCATTTTTCGACTTTTTTTTCTTTTCTATACTTTTTCGACATTTCTACTGCACACCGAATTATTTATTTATTTCAGAAAGATGCTTTATTGAAACGAGTCTCTACTTTATTACTTTAATTATATAGTAACCTTAAATAATTGAACTGTTTGATGGCTGCAGAAAAATTAAGCCGACATATGAAATATATCCATTGCCTTTTATACAATATAGTAACGGACAGAATCAGTATTAGTTAGTCAATAAATATGAAACTACTGCATATATTGATGAATAATTGGATGTTGCAAATATCGATCACTTCTTGTTCGTGCAAGATCTGAATTGTGACGTGGACCAATCCATAAAATTAATTTGCAAGTATCTAATGAAGTAACTTGCTTACGAATGACAAAATCGACAAGTATTGTATTGTCTTTAATTAATCTCATATTATCAGTGATATTACCGAGAACAATATTGGGTAATTCAATATTTGCCATAGTTAAATTTTCAAGCGTGTTTAAAAGAAAAAACATATCTTCTGTTGTTTCCATTTTCATTGTTATTTCTTGCAAATTAATAAAGGTTCGGCAGAATGCAATTAGATTCGTATTAGACAAAACATGTTCATCACTATTAACAACTAACTTTCGAATACGCATTGTTGTTAATAGACAAATCCATTCATATTGTTTATATTCTAACATAAATAGTAACCAATTAGCCGAACAAGTCAACATCTGAATATTATTTGATGACTTACAGAGAATCGTTGCAAACCTAATATGATTGATTGGTAGGTTGTCATTTATAATAATATGTTTAAGTGATGAATTTTGTAAAATATCAACAATATTTGGATGAACAGCTTCATTTTGATCATTAACAGCACCATAAAATTGAATAGAACGCACATTAGGACATATTGCTTGAGCTGATTTCGATAAATTCCACCATAGTTCTATATGAGTAACATTCGAATATACTGTTGTAGATGGTGAATCAAGTAAAACCTCATCATCAGGCCAGTTGAGAATCGTGACTATAGGTGATTTAATAGTAGATAAGCGGAAAAAACGACCACGATCTCGTAAACGACATTGAACAAACCAACATCGAGACACCCAATATTGACTTTTGAATGGTTCTAATAGTTGAAGATGATCAGGATTTGTCGGTAATGCCATGGTCAAGTCAAAGCGAAATGAAGAAAGCTTTGTTGGTAAAACTGTTTCCCAGCGATGAGCTTCTAAAAAACCGATGTCAGGATTGAGTGCTTCAAGTGATAATGATTGAAGTTCAGTCAAGTTTCTAAGAATCCAAGCAAAATCATCAAACAGTAACTAAAACAAAGAAAAACACGACATATTTGACATTGTTATAACAAAAAATCAAAAACTCAATGATAAATCTTTGCATATTGCAGAAAAGACAGATTATATATTACTTACTTGTTGTGTAATATTTACATTTAAATATTGTAATTTGTGTAATATAACATTAGATTGAAAATTATTTTTCACTGGTAAATTATTTTGATTAAAACCTGTTATAACAGCAGTTAAACGTTTCAAATAAGAAAAACTTTGTAAAAATGAATGCAATGCATTTATATGAATATGATGAACATGTAATTGTTCTACGAATGATGTTGTTATACTGGATGTTTGAATCCATTCATTTGAAACTTCATATGGAAACGCTAAACTACGCAATGAGATAGGCAGTATCACATTTTCATTGAACAATTCATTTGTATGTATAGTAAATGGCATTAAACGTTTATATTCTCCAATTGACAAGCACTTCAGTTGAGATAACATAGAAAAATGAGGTACAAGAATTTCCACATCCGATTTAGTATAATCAATCAATTTAAATGATTCAAGTTTGATAAAAACACTTGCTAAAGCATTAAAACGGGTTAAGAATAGTGTAAGTTGACCAGGTGTTGATGAATTATCACCACATAATTTTAACGAGACAATATGAGCACTCATACGTGGTAGAATAAGATTGCAATATAAATCGAATTTTATTTTTGATATACGAATAAAACTTACGTGAAGTCGGTGACATTGTTGACTGAACATAAATAAAAATAAGTGAAATTCTTTTTCTATTAGATTTTAAAATATAATTTACTTGAGTATTGTGTTAATACGTAGACTTATTCCATAAAATGCGTAATACAGATCGCATCCATCTAAATAATCACTTATTTCTACGATTAATTCAGGTGGAAGACTATCAAACTTGGATAGAGTCATGTTAATCGATTTGACGGAAATAATCTAGAAAATACTAATCATTCATCAATGATTTTTATAAAAAAAAATATTCAATTTCTTCTATAATTCAATATTTATTATATTATTATCGTACATCAAGTAAAGTGAGTTTTAGATTGTTTTCTTCATGTGTATTCAAAAACATAAATCGATGTTGATATTTACAAACAATGATCTCACTGATTAGACGAATTATCTTTAATTGATACTACTTCTTCCTTTTAAATATTCGAAATTCAACGATTTGAACAGGTAAAACATTATTCTTGAACTAACTTACAAAAAGACTTACATTATAAATAATCAATGATCTTCAATATTTATTACCTGACTAAATATGTGGCTCATACGTATTTATTTTCCATGTAGATAAAAATAAACGATAAATAAATGAAGACAAACATAATTTTCTTTTAGTTTGCTTCATTGAAAAGAATAAAAATAAAAATAACTACAAGATAATATAGGAAAGAGAGCAATTATATGCAAATGTGCATAATCGATAAGAATTAAATAAAAGAAATATACCAGTTATTCAACAATAATTGTTTTCTAGTACCATCGCATGCATTAGTTCGACCAGGAAAAAAACTAAATTGTTTTTCATAGAAACACTTAATCGTGTTTGAAGTAGACTAATATACTATGTAATTACGAAAACAAACCTATGGAGAAACTATTTTACGAATTTTTGGTGGAAAAAAAACAGAAGTTCTCTTAGCTGAAGTCTTGATCACTAATGGTTAACTGTAGGCTGATAGAAAATGTTTGATATCTTTATTTCGCAAGAATTGTATCGAAAATTTTAATAAAGATTTCCAAAAGAGTTCAGATGATATGCAGATACGATAGTAGTAATGAACAATGATCAACTATTGTTAGTCGATTGCAATTAATTTGCGTTAATATCAATAAAAAAATACTCACAGATAGCCTTCTTTTTTTGCGTTCTTGTCAAGATATAGCAAGAAAAAAATACAGATAGTATTTTTTTGCGCTCTTCTTGCTGACATCGGTGAAAGAAAACTGTTCGGTAGTGTTTCTTTTCTGTTCTCATTGGCAGAAATATAGCGGAAAAGATTAATATAATCAGTCGATGTCTATAATCATGACTCATTTTGCCACGTCGACATACGAAAATAGTACAGAAAATCCAGATATTAGAGTATTTATTTTCTTGATAATTGAACTAAGCAGAACGTAGATTTTTTTATATCACCGTTATACTTTTATATCATGCTCCATTATTTCTTTTTGCCAGTCATGGTAGCAAGTCTTTATATTTAGGCAAAACAAAAGAATCTATAGAAAAAACAGGGAGCATATCGATTTTGTTCAGATCATTTTACTTTTAGAAGATTATACTCAATCGATTTGACTATTGTGTTAAAACTTTTTAATTATCTAACCAGCGTGTTTTACAGTTTCATAAAAATATATGTTACTTATCCCAGATTCATACTATAATGAATGTGTCGTACTCGTTGGTGTTTTAACCTATCTGATCAATATTCATTCGCCCTTATTTTTTGTCCATTCAGCTACACCCATTGCTTTTAGATATTTCCTCGATTAACTATGGTTGGAGATAGTAGACTATGCCGGAGCCGTCTAAATGAAATCGATACGGATAGATCATTGCTACTTTTATTCGCTATACTCCATTTCTGCTAAACTAAAGAAGATTTTTGCTTTTATATGACTAGATAGAGCATTTATTTCTTCATCGAAAAGAATATTTTTGTATATGATTTATTTCTTATCTTGAATGAGAATTAAGTGAAATTCTAAAAGTCCTCACAAATTTATTTTGTACAATAATATTTAGCTAAAGCATAAATATATATAGTTGCTACTCAGTCCGACTCTTGTGGAAGTAGTTTCAGATTGAAGCTATCCTTAGCAGTCATGCTTCTATAAAGCATAGAATAAAACCGACACGTATTAAAAATTGAAAAATAATTTTTCAATTTTTAATCTTAAGTTGCTTAGATCTTTTCGCTAAAGAAACGAAAAACAGCTTTAGGAGTATTCGAATAATGCAGCATTTATGTCAAAATCTTCTGCCAAGCCAACCTCGAATTACCTAATTCGATAGAGAATGTACTTGTTCTATCAGGTCATATGAAGCAAAAATAATGATTCAAATGTCTGCAGAACTATAATCATCTGAGAAAAAGTACTGAAAATCTCAAAGCAAAAGAATTCTTTTGAGGAATTTCAGAAATTCACTGAATTCTCGATTAAGATGCGAAAAAAAAATCATATAGAAATATTTTCTTCGATAGAAAAATGAATGCTCTATACGGTCATATAAAAACAAAAATCTTCTTAAGTTTAGTAGAAATGAATTAAATCGAAGAAAACCAACAAAAATAAGTGAATCATGGTATATATCCTAAAAGTTCTTTAATTAATCCTAATGTATCGTGATTTATTTTATGGAAAATATATTAAAATGATATAATTCCTCAATATCGTAGAATAAAGACTGTTATCTGTAAGGCAAAATATCATCAGCTGATTGTATTTATCGTTTTGTGATGTGACTATTTCGATGTTTTCATATTTAATAAATCATTGATTTTTTTTCTATTTAGTTAGATAATCAAACTATGGTTATTAATTAAAGAAAGAAGAAATTATTCTACTAGTTTTACATTCTATACTTTTAAATATAACTAATTGTGAAAGAAAATGAACAGTTTTATGCATATGTTAATAATCAAAGTATAAGATTTGATGCATTGATCTAGTTTTCGTCTAATGTGTCTTTTTGTCATGCAGAAAAACGTACAGAATGATACAAAAAAGTAATCAAAAAACACCACATAGTGTAAAATATAAGTAGATTGATTGTCAAACTAGTAATAGAATAAAGAAAACAATGTTTAATCCAGACTCAAAATATTGTTGTCGTTTTGTTTCCTGTTTTTCATACACTAAGTGTCATTCTTCTTCTTTTGTTGTTATGATACTTTTTGTTTCAGTTTATCCATCAATAATTATTTTCGATGTCAAAGATGAAAAATTGAGCATCAACTATTATCATACTTTCTCATGGTTTTGTAATTAAAAAAAGCGATTCAGCTGTTTTCTTTTCTTTTGTAAAAGAAATCTATGAATTACAAAGACGACTTCAATCAAACCTCGTTGTGATTAATCATTTCATAAAAATAGTTTTCTTTCTCTTTTAAAATTTCTTGTGAAACATTAAAATCATTGAATGATATTAGTTTACATACAGTTATGAAGAATAATTTACTTCACACTTTCCTGCGAGCTCTTCTGTCATTTATGACAGATAAAATACTCTTTTTTAATTATTTCTTTGATCTGACATATTTATATCTCTGTAATTTAATAATATCTTAAAAATCATTATGTATTATGCGAAAATTTCTGTATCGATTTAGATTTCCAAAATCCCCTTTTAATGCAACATACATACGAGTTATATAAATGAAAATATACTTTTTCTACAATTTCACAAGTAAGATAGTACGTCTAAAGTTTAAATAAAATAATTAATAGAATAAGAAGTCTATATTTTTTAAAATACAACTGATATTATCAATCAAGTATTTTGAGCGAATATTTCTATACAATCTTTTTTTGCTTTTGTCTTTCTCTATTAACCAACGATCTTAATATTTGGGTGTTATGTTCTCGTGCTCTTCGTTCGTCACCATGTACACACTACTTTCTCGCTTGTGTTATCGTTACTGTTATGCATACTTTTTTTAATATACCCAGTACAATTTTAACGTGATTTTTCCATCGATTGGATGACTGCTCCAATCGGATGTAAAATACAAACTTATTTTGTATTCTTAACACCATTTTTATCAAGAGAAATGCTCATATTAGCTTTATTTGATCGTTATTGTTCATGTTACGAGGGTGTAGATGTGTGTTATCCATGTGATTCTCTCTCTATCCACACCCGCACCTTGGATACATTTATTCTTCAGCGAGTAAAACCAATCATTATTCCAGATCGAACTATTTGCTTTGAGTGATTTTGGTTGCAGAACATCGGTCAATCACTCTTCGACGAACTTTATTCGGTCTACGTCGATCTCATTCGCTTTGCACTGAAATGTCTTTAGTCATGTCGGTTGCTTTGAAATACAGGAAAAACATACTATTATCACTGCTGGAATGAAGATGTGTATAGTTATTTTATTGGTCTTGGCACAATCGATCCGAATCGACACATTTAATTCGAATAAAATCTGCATAGAATCTATTCGATATTGAGAAAACGTTGCTGATCAACACTAACGACAACCATTTCAAGAGCAAAATTGATTTATGAATTGTTTTTCATTGAATTGAACGAACAATCATCTGAGAAAATGTCGTCAATGGGACATCTTCAAGGAATTAATTGTTGATTTGAAATATTCAAAGAGAGAAAATCTATTTGTTTCAAAGAGTTAATAAAGATAAAATTGCTTCGACTTTGTTCATCCATAGTCAACGGTTTCTAAGACCTCTGATCCTGTTAAGTACTTTCTCATCGATTGGAGTACACGATTGCAATTCGAATCAACATCAGTCACAATGTTCAAATGCATTTGATGAACATTGTCAAACTATCAAAACCAAATCATCCGAAAAAGAAAATCAGACTGGAGTTTTTCGACGAAATTCTGATGATTAAAGATATATTTCGTAGTAGGAATGATTCCTACATTATCCAGTTCAATTACATATATAATAGGCTTGTTCGTTCAAAAAATACAGTATTACTTTGCACAATAGGAAAGCTCTTGTCTTTCTATTTTGTTTGAGCGAACATTGCTAATTATAGGCCAATAAAAATGATATTTATTAACATGTTAGCTTGATAATGGGCATTTATCGTTTTGAACTTATCCCTATCATCAAGCTTGGTATCATCTTGAGAGTGTGGGTGGGATATGGGATCCAGACCAAGCCTCGGACTTACACCCGCACCTGCACCCTACACC